CGTCCCACCCTCCGTTTTAACTTTCTAATTCCGGCTATTCCACATTTTTGTTTTCTTTGGGCCGTCCATTTGTTTTGAGATTACGATTCAGCCTTCTAACGGCTGCAATTTATTGTTACATATGCATATATCTGCGCGTTTTTTTTACCTACACCTACATTATAATTTACATTTTATATGTACCATCAGCAATACGCTGACTAAACTGATAACAATACATGTAAAATACGTTAAATACCAAGAATACCAAAAGAAAATAGCTAAACTATTTTCCAGAACAATGAATATTAATAGAAAATAATTAGCTGGCCGTTTTTAGCATAGTTTCACCACTATTTAAAACTTTTCTGGATCAGGCCTAGCTTCTGCGAGAGCTATCCTAACCGCGTGACAAAGAACGAATGATCACTAAGAAGAGGTCTGGTTGGAATTATTTTGAGGAATTCGAATTTCCTCACTACCCACATACTGTGATCTATCTCTGTTTACAGCTAAGGAATGAAACACAGTGCCTTCGTATATACGACTATTTTTAGAAAAAAAAAATCAAAGGAACTGTGTAAAATTGGTGACCCGCTCTTTGACGATTTAGTCTTTGAGCTTGCACCACTCTTGGATTTCTTCACCACAACCCTTGTTGGTCCAAGAGCATCAGCAACCTAGAAATATCTCGTGCCAAAATTTGCTGATACGGTAAGATCAACCAACAGGAAATATGGGAAAAATAAGCACATTTTTATTTCAGATTCTAATGTGCACTTTTAAAATACATCTACAACACAAGCTTGTACAGATTTGAGGCCCCCTCCCTCTCCTCCTTTTTCAGCTTTCTTCCAACGACTGCATTGGTCGAAGCTACATCACGTTACGTTCAGATTGTGGTGATTCTGGCACTCTTTCCTCTTTTTTCGGCTCTTCCGAAGGAAAGTGCGGAATGCACAATACTTCTCCGCATCTTGTGCCTTCTCTCACACACATACTGGTAATTCTTCCACGTTCCCCGCAACAACCACAGGCAATAAAAAAATATAGTAAAGGAGAACCTCAATTTTCTCCTTTTTCAAAACAAAATATTACTCGGGATTCGTCCCCAGGATTTGATATCTCCTTCAAAGTATTCTCTTTCCCAAGATAAAGTCTTCCCAGTGTCACATCAGTCAACCGCGGAGGTCCCGAATAATGGCTGCTAATGCCTAGAGGAGATCCACTACGACGACAGCACGTATTGCAGCGTTAATGGAATTGCCATTTTATGAAAGCAATCCCGCCTATCAGTCGGGGTTTGACAATCGTGTTTGACAATCGTCTTTTCTTAGTGGTACTTCGACCCCGAGGGCGGGGGCGGGGGGGGAGGGTGTCGTTTTACAAGAGGTTGAGTCTGACCACTCGTTTATTTCATGTGCTCTTCCACTGAAGTCGTTTGTTGCGCATTTGCATTTGGGCTTGTGTTACTGCCGTATCC